AGAGGTCTGGTTGCATCAGGGTAGGTTTATGTGGCTTGTCTGGCTCAGGGCACTTAGGTAGTTCCATGTGTCTTGTCAGCTGCAATGTCTCCCAGGGAGTGAAGTAGTGAGAGAGAGTCTCTCCTGCCTCCAAGGAGGAAGTGCCAGATTTATGGGAATTCTCAAGAGAAGGCCATGCCCCCACACAGGCCTCATTGGCAATGATCTCCACTCCTACATTCTTAATCCTCACATTGACGATTATATAATTACCACAAGGTATAACAATTACCACAAGGTATAACAGGAAGAGAAAAATAGACTGAAAAAGGTTAGATCTTAATAAAAAGATAGAAGAGCCATGATTAATAAATTCTGTTATTACTTAACATCCTAGATGCTATAAACAAAAGGTAGCATTCAATCCCCCAAGGAATGCTCCCAACCTACTTAAGTGCAAATGCGCAAATGAGGGCCTTCATCTTGGTCCCTGTCTCTCTATTTTGTCTCTGGTTTAAGTAGACATGACCTTAGTCTCTGAAGTCGGGATATTTGGATGTGAATATGAGCTCTACCACTTAGTAGCGGTGTGGGACTATAGTGATACCTTTCTTCACCTCAGTTACCTCATCTGTAAAATGGGCACAATAAAATATTTTATTCATAAAGTTTGTGTGTGTGTTTGTATTTAAAGTTATATGAGCCAATACATCTTATAATGCCAGTGAGACATTCCGAATTTCCCACTTCCTACTTCCAAGTGAAATGTCAGTAAATATTGGCTCTGATTATTATAAGGAGCATAGTGATTATGCATTGGTCTGTAAACCACAATATCATCAGTTGAAAATCACCAGCCACTCTGCAGGGGAAAGAAAAGGCTTTTTACTCCTGTAAAGAGTTATAGACTTGGAAACCCACAGGGGCAGTTCTACCCTGTCCTATAGGGTTGCTATGAGAGGCATGCACTTGATGGCAGTGAGTTTCATTTGTTTAGGTTTGATGGCATAATGATTACTCTTTGGTCTGCTAGCCACAAGGTCAGCAGTTTGAACCCACCAGCTACTATGTAGGAAAAAGGTGATGCTTTCTACTGCATTAAGAGTTGTAGTCTGGAAACCTAAAGAGGGTGGTTCTACCCTGTGCTATAGGGCCATTATAAGTAGGAACTGATTGAAAAGAGTGAGTTTTTTCAAATAATTTTGGCACTGTTGTCCATTAGCTTGACATGCTTACAGGACTCATCAAGCAAATTAAAACTATGTTCTTTTTTTCCTCTTTCACAAAAGCATTTTCCAAATAACTTCAGAATAAATCATCATGACTTCTGACTGGAAATAACAGAGAAAATATAACCCTCATTTAAGCCAAATCAAATCATTTATGCATGCCAAAGTATTAAGTGTTGTTTTCTAGAGTTTAAATTCAATATGCACTTAAGATATCAAATAAATGTTTCTTTGTGAAAAAATTTTAAAAGCATAAAATACAATCATTAGACCATTTTCTTTTCTTTTGTATAACATACAAAAGTTTTAAGAAATTCTTTTTTTTAAGTATGTCAATTCTCATTCCAGGAAACAGTGCAGTTGATAAGCTCCTGTTCAAGCAGAAAATTTGCTTTTTATAAGTTATATTTTTAAAAGTCTGCCTACTTCCCCAAGATTAGCAATAAAATCCTGTGAAGGAGAGTGTATGCTTGTGAACCAAGAAACTTCCTTTTTCTTCCAGGGTTCACAGATTGCATTTTAAATTCAGGATTTAAATTTTAAATTCAAGATTCCATAAATGACGGATACCAAGTGAATGATTAGGGTCAACAGGAATAAACTAAACATATGAGATTCCCATCGCTAGTACTTTCCAAAGAAACAAGCAAGAAACTGAATTATACAGCAAATGATCTAGACTTAGAACATATTTATAGGCTTTTAATTTTAAGGTGACTTCAAACCTAGATGAAAGACTATTGAACAGAAACAAAAATGAAAGTTCAGTACCAATGGTCTTTTCTATTCTCACTAAACTGATGAGTGACAGTTGAGCCTAAGTGTACAACGGAAAACAATTACATTCATTCAACAAATATTTTTCTCATATAATGCTCACTTTAAAAAATATTAAAGTCCCATTTGAATATACCTGCTAGTTAAAATATGAAAGCTACACAGACATCTACATTGCCTGTATAATTTTTGAAACCCTGGGGACATAGTGAGTTCTATATCGGGCTGTTAACTGCAAGACCCATACGTTCAAAACCACCAGCCACTCCGAGGGAGAAACATGAGACTGTCTGCTCCCATAGAGAGTGGCTGCCACCATGGACTCAAACATAGGAACACTTGTGAGGCTCGCACGGTGCTAGGTTCATCTGTTATGCATACAGTCAATAGGAGACAGAGCCCACGCCACAGCAAGAAACCACCGAGTTTTCCACTGTCCTGTAGGGTGTCCGTGGGTCAGAATCAACTTGATGGCAGTGGACTTGGCTGAGGTTCAGTTTCATGATTTTTGTTATATACCCCTCTTAGAAGAAATTTACTTTTGATTACCCATCCACCCCAAATATACCAAAATATTGTCCATGTATAAAAAATAGCTTAACTATTGTAATCTCCATGAAGACAGGACCATTGTGGATATTCTCTCTCTCTCTCTCTCTCTCTCTCTCTGCTTGTCGCTTGTACCTTAGAACAATAGTAATTAACACCATGTAATACAAACATATACACACACATGCAACCCAACAGCTATCAGAGGGAAACAGGATAGAAACAAGAGTATAACCTTTACTCTGATTTTTAGTAAATTTTGTCTCACACTCTCACTTTCAGTTTTCCTGGATCAGTGTGTGCATCCCTTTTTCTTTATTATTTTCCTTCCCTGTGATGTGCCAAATCTTGGTAAATGATGGTAATTCAAAGGTGAGTAAAATATGAAGGCCTAAACCCTCCCAACCCCCCAAATTTTTTAAAGTAATGCGTTTAATTTTTAAAAAATATTTTTATTTGGGGGCTCTTACATCTCTTATCAAATTCCATACATTTATCCAGTGTGCCAAGCACATTTGCACATATGCTGCCATCATCATTTTCAAAGCATTCTCTTCCCACTTGAGCCTCTGATATCAGCTACCCATCCCTTCCCCTTGCCCCCCAGCTCACCCTCCCTCACAAACCCTTGATAAGTTAT